AGAGAGTCTCCTGCTGGCCTTGAAGAGGTGAGCTGCTATGTTGACAGGGAGCCATGTGGCCAGGGACTGTGGGCATCTTCCAGGACTGATAGCAGCCCCCAGCTGACAGCCAGCAAAAAACAGGGACCTCAGTCCTACAACCTCAAGGAATTGAATTCTGCGTGAGTTTGCAAGAGGGCCCAGAGCTCCAGAACGGAAAGCTGACTCCCTGGCTGCATCTGTCTATTACAAGTGCAGCAGTAAACCACCTTCTAAACGCATGTAAGTGTTTCCGAGGGCATATTATACAAAGTGGGTTTTGTAAATGGATGTTGCCAAATCGCCCTCCATGGCTGTACCAATTTACACCCCCACCATGACCAACCATGTTTGAGAATGTCCAGTCCCCAGTACAATATGAATATGGGGACTAATAAAGTGAGCTGCAATCACTTTATTGATTGATCACTAACAAAGTGGAACATCTTTCCATATATTTATTGCCCACTTGGTTTTCCTCTTCTGTGAAATGCCTTTTAGTTTCTTTTGCCAATTTTGCTATTGGATTATTTATCCTTTTTTATAGACTCATAGAAATTCTTTATTAATTCTGAATACAAATCCCATTTCAGTTATATGTTGTAAATATACAATATTTGCATATCAAAATCCATAGCTCATTTTCCCCTAAAATTTGTGTATCGTTTTTTTTTATCATATAGAAGTTTTTAATTATTGATGGTGCAGTCAAATGTATTCGTTTTTTTGTTGTTTTTTTTTTTTTTTTTTTTTTGCGGTACGCGGGCCTCTCACTGTTGTGGCCTCTCCTGTTGCGGAGCACAGGCTCCGGACGCACAGGCCCAGCGGCCATGGCTCACGGGCCCAGCCGCTCCGCGGCATGTGGGATCTTCCCAGACCGGGGCACGAACCCGTGTCCCCTGCATCGGCAGGCGGACTCTCAACCACTGCGCCACCAGGGAAGCCCTGTATTCGTTTTTATGTGTTTTGATTTTGTTTCTTTCAAAGCCTTCCTACCCCAAGATTATTTAAAAAATTCTCCTATATTTGCTTACAATATTTTCATAGTTTTGTTATGATGTTTTCCCTTTCATTCCATCTGGAATTTATTGTGAGTCATGCATTCTTCCACCCCCCAATCTGGTGTCCACCCTCACCACTCACCTGATATTGCTTTGGGCAAAGTCTCTAGGGATCTCTGTGTTGCTGAATCAAAAAGACAGTTCTGTGGCCTTGTTTTATGTAACTTCTCAGCAGCTTGTGTAGAAGTTGAGCATACCTCCTACTGTGGACACGTCCCTCTCTTGGGATCTGGGACAGCATCCTTTCCGAGCTTTCCCTCCATCTCACTGGCCTTCCTCTGTCTCCTTTATTGGATCATCTTCTTCCCAATCTCTAATTCTTGGTATTTCTCAAGGTTCAGTTCTGAGCTGTCTTCTCTGTGTCCCCCTTGGGGAACCAAGCTTTATATACTCTAGAGCGATTCCTTAATTACTACGTCTCTAGCCTTTGTCTTTCCTGAGCTGTGGCTTTGTATATTCGGATACTTGTCTGACGTGTCTCTCTGGACAATCCACAGCCATCTCAGACTTCATATGTTCCAAGCTGAAATTTTTTTTTAATTTATATTGGAGTATAATTGCTCTACAATATTGTATTAGTTTCTACTGTACAGCAAAGTGAGTCGGCCATACGTATACACATACCCCCTCCTTTTTGGATTTCCTTCCCATTTAGGTCACCACAGGGCACCAAGTAGAGTTCCCTGAGCTACAGAGTAGGTTCTCATTAGTTATCCATTCCACACATAGTATCAATAGTGTATGTATGTCAAGAACTCTTGAGCCCATCCCCTGCTCCAAACCTGTTTTCCCTCTAGGCTTCATCGCAATTCACTCCTTCAACTTGAACCAGACACCTAGGAATCACCCTTGGTTTCTTCCTTTTTTTCTACCACTGTATCCAATCCGTCAGCAAGTCCTGTCAACTTTCTCTCCCCCATACATCTTGATCTAATGGGCTTCCCCTCATCTCCTCCACCAGCCTCATCCAGGCTGCTAATATCTCTCTCACTCCTGCTTTGGCATCAGCTTCCCTTCGTCTCTTCCCTCTCCTCCCTGGAATGGTCTCTTTTTAAAACGTATGTCATTATCATTCCTGCTTCCAATGTTTCCGTGGCTTCTCATTTTACTTAAACAGCCCAAACTTCCCCCTGGGTCTCTGAGACCTCCTGGGGCCTGGACCCCGACTCCCATACACATCTTAGGCTACCTTGCTCACAGGTCCTCCCTCGGTTCTTTGCGCAAACGCACATCTCCCCCACGTCCGGGCTGGATTCGTATCCTGGGGCTGCTGAGACAAGTTCCCGCCAACTTGGTGGTTTAAAACAAAAGAAAATATTCTCTCACAGTTCCCGGGGGCCAGAAATCCAAAATCAAGTATTTCACAGATGAGAAACTGGGGTTTAGAGCAGGGCCCACAGCTTCAAGGATGTGCCCTAGTTCCTGCCCTCAAAACTAAGGATCCACAGTAAGATACCTTTTATAACAACAAATCACCTTACAAGGGCAAAGACCAGAGAAAATGTTTGTCATCTAGAGTTATTCAGTGAAGCAGCTAGACTAGACCCAGGTCAGAAAAGCTCTGTGACTGTGGATCAGGTTATGGAAATAACTGAAATGCAAGGTCTGTGGATTTGTTGCATTTACATTATAGAAAAGGAGAATTTGAGATTGAGGATGTAGGGTGATCCGTAGGTATTGTGTCACACGAAGAGGATTTCCCTAGACATGTTTGAACCTCCAATTCTGTGTTTCATTCTGAGTTTTGTCTGTCCCTGAGGCTTTAAAGTCGACCCAAGAGAGGGATTATGACTATTTATGACTCTGCCTATAAAACACCACAGGGCTTAACCTTCCAGCAGGCGAAGGGCCACCACATTTACACTTCAGTCTCCCTGCGGCTGCTTTGAAACGCTCTGCTTTTCTTCTCAGAGGCTTTGGGATCTGGGCAGACACACACTCTGGAGTTACCTCCTCTTAAGCAGATCATGCAAGGATTAATTTATCTCAGTAAACACAGGGCTCCCAGAAAGACAGCCAATCACTTCCCAGGAGAATCAGAAAACCTCAAGGGAGAAAGAGAAGCCATCCCAGGCCTCTCCATCAGGTCGACGGCACAGTGCCGGAGCCTCCCACAGAGGTTTGGGGTTGCCTGCGTCACCCGTCACCCGACGCCATGGTGTGGGCGTGGCCTTGGGCAGGGAAGGCTCTTCTGGAGCTGTTTCTGCTGCCCCGGGGCCGGCACTTAGCTCACGGTGTGAAGCTGCAGAACAGGATTTCATGGTTTCCCAGAGCCCTCACCCATCCCCAGCCCTTGCCCTTCCAGGGCAAAAGTGCCTCAACCAGCAGCGGCTGGCCGCCTCGCACAGATGCTGTCCCACGCCACCCTTACGATTGCTTTACGAGCAGCTAGTGGCCAACGTCTGCATCTGCTCGGTAGATACTCAGTCTTCAAACTTCTATTTCCTCCGACCTTCTGCCTGGCCTCCTGTGCTTGACTAGATCAAGGATTTCTACTGGTTCAGGGATGGATACATCACACACAGTAAGAGTTCAGTGCGTCTGGGGGATTTTAGTTAAAGAAAATTAAGCCTGTCTGTACTACAGGGCTTCTCTGAGGCTCCAACAGGCCAAAATGTTCATTGCAAACTCCAAGAGAAGGGTATGGTGCAGGAATTTCCCAAACATATGTGTTTACATACATTATCTTGGGTCCTAAAAGTGATGGGCAGAACACAATTTGGGGAACCCCGTTCTGGGCCACATTGGCCTCTGTGCTCAGGAGGATGGGAAGAGAGGGCAGAGTATCTACTGTGAGTCTGTATGTGCCAAGAGCCGTGGTACTTTGGGCAGGCATTGCCTCGGCATCTGTAGTCTCTCAACGACCCAGCAAGGCAGGCACGGTCAACTCCGCTCCCTAGATCTGAGATGACGCCGTGTGCAGCCACAGTAAGGCCCCAACACTAGAAGCATCCGAACAATAAAACTTCCCCTGGGCTTCCCTGGTGGCGCGGTGGTTGAGAGTCCGCCTGCCGATGCAGGGGACGCGGGTTCGTGCCCTGGTCCGGGAGGATCCCACATGCCGCGGAACGGCTGGGCCCGTGAGCCGTGGCCGCTGAGCCTGCGCGTCCGGAGCCTGTGCTCCGCGGCGGGAGGGGCCACAACAGTGAGAGGTCCGCGTACCGCAAAAAAAAAAAAAAAAAAATTTCCCCTGAAGGATAGCTTTATGGTCATGCATTTACAAAATCAGGCCATTGTGCTGAGCAAGGAGCCATACGCCGTGGTGCATGGTGCGTGGCAGTGATGTGCTCTGCCTGCTGGGCCCGAACGCCTACAGTGAGGTCATGGCGGCCTTGGCCGTGGGATACGGACAGGATGGGGGTGGGGATGCCCATGGACGATCACAAATAGCCAGAAGACACTTTGTGCTGTGAAAACCTCAGCAATTCACCCAACAAAGGTCATTTACAGTCAAACAGGAGCTACTGCGGAGTCCAAGGCTGCAGGGCAAATTCTGGAAGGAAAGGAGTGTCCAGAGCCAGCCAGAGCTCTCAGAGGCCTGGGAACCAAGGAAAGGAGGACGCAGATGAATTTCCAGGTTTGGGAAAGAGAACTGATAAGCAGTATTCTTGCTTTTTAGTTTTTAAATAAGCTTTTCATTTCAGAACAATTTTAAATTTCCAGAAAAGGTGCAAAGATAGTCCACAGCCCCATGTGCCCGTACCCGGTTTACAGAATTATTAACATTTGTCACAGTGAATGAACCAGTATCGTTACATCACTAACTGAAGTCCAGATTTTATTCAGATGTCTTCAGTTTTTACCTAACGCCCACTCTCATTCTGTTCCAGGATCTCATCCAGGACGCCGCATCACACTTAATCCTGTCTCCTTAGATTCCTCTTGACTCATCGGACTCTCCTTGTTTTTGATGATCTTGGCAGTTTTGAGGAGCACAGGTCCAGTATTCTAAGGAATGTTCTTCTATTTGGGTTTGTTGGATGTTCTCCTTGTGGTTAGACAGTGGTTCTGCATCTGGGGAGGAAAACCACAGAAGTCAGGTGCCCTTCTCATCACATCACATTGAGGGCCGGTACTATCAATGTGATTTATGTTGCCGTTGACCTTGAGCGCCTGGCTGAGGTAGTGGCTATCAGATTTCTCCATTGCAAAGTCGCTCTTGCAGCCTCCCCTTTCCATGCTGTCCTCTTGGAGGGAAGTCACTATGAAGTCACAGCCCACACTTGAGGGACGGGAGTGATGTACCTCCTTGACAAGGCAGTATCTACAGGAGTCATTTGGAATTCTTCTGCCTGGGAACCATGTCTATTCTCCTCCATTTAAAACAATGTATTGGGATCAACAGACGAATGGATAAAGAAGATGTGGCACATATATACAGTGGAATATTAGCCATAAAAAGGAACAAAATTGGGTCATTTGTAGAGACACGGATGGACCTAGAGACTGTCATACAGAGTGAAGTAAGTCAGAAAGAGAGAAACATATCGTATATTAACACATATATGTGGAATCTAGAAAAGTAGTACAGATGAACCTGTTTGCAGGGAAGAAAGAGAGACACGGATGTAGAGAACAAACGTATGGACACCAAGGGGGAAAGGAGGGGTGGGATATGAACTGGGAGATTGGGATTGACTTATATACACTAATATGTAAAGAAGAGATAACTAATGAGAACCTGCTGTAGAGCACAGGGAACTCTACTTCACTTTTCTGTACAGTAGAAACTAACACAACATTGTAAAACAACTACACCCCAATTAAAAAAAAAAAAGAAAATGGTGACCAAAGAAAAAGTGTTGGGGGAGAGGGGTAAATCAGGGGTTTGGGATTAACATATACACACGACTGTATATAAAATAGATAACCAACAAGGTCTTCCTGTGTAGCACAGGGAACTCTACTCCAGATTTTGTAATTACCTATAAGGGAAAAGAATCTGAAAAAAAAAATATATATATATATATAACTGAATCACTGTGCTGTACACTTGAAACTAACATGACATTATAAATCAACTATACTCCAATTTAAAAATGCATTCAATTATTAATTTATATCATGATGGACTCATGAATATTTACACTCTATTTTGTACAAATATGTGTATACAATATTACGTTATTTATTTTGTTGCTAAAATTACTCAACCTTGGTCACTGGGAACTCTTTCAGCAGTTCCTGGGTCCCTTAGGTGAGCCCCCACTGGTGTGTGTGTGAGGGCTTATTTTGGGGGAGTTTTGTTTCTTTAGCCCATCCTTGTTTGTTAGCACTCCAAAATGCTCTAAGCTCATCTTGTATATTTCCTGCCCCAGCTCTTTCTAGAAAGAGCCATTTCTCCAAGAAGCCCTGCTCCCTTCTATCGGAGAATGGTATTAGAAACCAAGACTAGGTCTTGGTGGGGGGCTTGTTATTCCTGGGGAGTCATTTCTTCTAGGACCTCCCAGCAAACAGAGCCAAAGAACCTATGTGTGTGTACTCACCTGACCATGTAGCCATCTGTATCTACATTAAGCTACCCCACGTCTCCACCTCTGATCCAGCACCACATGGATTATTCTCGCCTCTGCTTCTTGCTGGTCCGTAACCGTACAACCCAACCGTGTGAAACCTGGCTCCCGCCATCTCCTGGACATTCACCTCATGATTCAATTCCAGTTTACACATCTTGTGGCTTCAGAATTCTTAACCCACATCCTCATGGGAGACAAATTTCCACCTAGAGTCCTGTGCTTATGAGCAGCTCCTTTTGCCTTTGGTCTTAAGAGTCTCCACTCATTCCCAAAGTTACTTGATCACCGTTCCTCCAACCCCCTCCAGGGAAGGTGTGTCATACCTTTGTAACACAGTTAGATTCTTTTGTCACAGCCTGCCTTCCATCCTGGGATCCTCTGACCTCCTAAATGATGTTTTAAAATTTATTTTATTGAAGTGTAGTTGATTTACCATGTTGTGTTAATTTCCGCTTACAGCGATGTGACTCAGTTATACACACACATATTGCTTTTCATACCCTTTTCCATGAGGGTTTATCACAGGGTATTGAGTATAGTTCCCTGTGCTACACACTGGGAACTTGTTGTTTATTAAATGATCTTTTAAATTTGCATAGACTAAGGTTAACGCTGTACCATGAATAGGACGGTTTCGACAAAAGCAAAGCGTGATGTATCCGCCATTAAAGAATAGTTTCACTGTCCTGGAAGATGCCCTGTGTTTCACCTATTGCATTCTCCTCCTGTATTTTTGTTTTTCCCTTCCATTTTCAAGTAAGCAGGTATTTTAGATACCAAATAATGTTACATGTCATGTAATTTTTAATTGCTTGACGTCAAGTAGTTACAAGAAATAAAAGGTGGTTTTAGAATCACATTGTTATCAAATATGTTTGTTTTGTATTAGACCCACGTAACTTATTAGTCACAATAATTTAGAAGTGCAAACTTTTTCTTTTAGGTCACTGTGCACTTTCAGAGTTGAGAAAGCTGAATTCCAGAAATTTCACTACCCCTCAAAAGGTCAGGGCCTGGCCATGCCCAGGAAGCCATCGATACTGTAGCAAGTGCAGAGCCAGTGTTGATACATGGATTCAACTTCCCACCTGACCACGTCGTCACCTTTCAGAATTTTCATAAATCCGGGGGCTTAAAAACTTAGCAAGGACCTTCTTTTCGCCCAGCAACCAGCCCTTGCCCGACCCCATTTTCTTAGTCTAAATCATGTCTATTTACAAACTCCAAGTTTTGCCACAAAGGCTTTACTATGCCCACTTTGCAGCCAAGATTAGAGCAAAATGCAGAGACGAATTTCCTCACCCCATGCTTGCAGTCAGTCGCTGCTTGTCGTTGACTACAGCTTCATGATCTCAAGAGCACATGTCGTGGAGGTAAAACTTTATGACTTCCATTAATTCCGTGTCCTCGGCTGTCATGTTTCTCAGCTTGCTGTCAAACCACAGAAGTATATTTTTAGGATATTTCGAAGGGAAGCAGTGTGAGGACTTCTCAGACAAAATTTATAGCAAGGCTTCCTGAGAGACTGAAGCAGGTGGATTCTGCTAAATACACACATGCGCACACACACGCAGAGAAACGAATGCACAGACACACGCACACACACGCAGAGACACACGCGCACACACATGCAGAGACACACACACACACACACACTGCCTTGCACATAGAAAGGATAGGAGATGCATTCTTTGGGACCTCAGCTATATCACAAGAACATCCTTCTGTGTGTGTATTCTGATTCCTGGGCCTGCGTTTTCCCTTTTGGTGTCACCTCAGGCACAGGGAAAAGCATGCCACAGTAGTAGGGAAGGAGGGAAACCAGGAGGGAGGGAGAGAATAAAGTGAAAGCACAGGAGGAAGGAAGGGAAGAGAGAAGGAGAGAGACACGGAGAGGCAGGAGACTGCTGAAGTCCCATCAGTGATGCCAGAAATGGGCAGAGGGAACACTGATGGAGGGAATCGGGAAAAAACTTCTTTCAGTGAAGAATCCGCAACAAGCCTCTCCCCAGGTGGCCAATCGTCTCTCTCGAAGTGACTTTTTTTTTTTTTTTTTTTTTTTTTGCGGTACGCGGGCCTCTCACTGTTGTGGCCTCTCCCGTTGCGGAGCACAGGCTCCGGACACGCAGGCCCAGCGGCCATGGCTCATGGGCCCAGCCGCTCCGTGGCACGTGGGATCCTCCCGGACCAGGGCACGAACCCGTGTCCCCTGCATCGGCAGGCGGACTCTCAACCACTGCGCCACCAGGGAAGCCCCCAAGTGACTTTTTTAAAAATAACGTTATCAAAATGTTCTGCCTCTAGCAAATCTTCTCCTGATCAGAGATAATAAATATGCAACTTTATTATTGCTTTATTCATCACTAACCCTGAACAATACCGACGGTCCGGGGCTCTTTGGCCTTCAAAGGACCTTCCTTCAATAAAAAGATTATATTTTATAACTGTTTGGGTATAAAGATGAATATATTGATAATATCTATTAACTTCTCATTTGGCCTAAAATTGTGTATTTTTTTCTTCTGGTTTTAAATGAAATTAGGACATTTTTGTGGGCTCTGGGCACACAAAAGTACTATGGGCCCTGGACACTGTCCCCACTGGGTACGTTGGCCCTCACGATACACTTTTGCTAATTGGTTGGTGCAGTTCACGTATGTCACCACGTGGTCCCCGGGTCCTGACCCCAACCTGGGGTGCGGAGTTAATGCCATATGCGATCCGGGTGTGAGTTTGTATTGCCAAGCGCCAGTGGTTGAATTCAATTGTTCTACATTCACTAAGTCTATTCTTAAAAGTCAGCAGAAAATACGTTCATATCTGTACTGTAAAGTTGACAAAAGCAGCGCTCGTGTGACAGAGGGGGACTGAGTTTACTCAGAAAGATGAGTTTCGTCCTGCTCCACCGAGAGCTCGTTTCTGTCCTGTGGAACCACCCAGAGTGGAGGAAAGTGACCTGGAAAAGGTAAGGTGTCAGGAGGAGAGGTTGTCATTCTTTTCTGGGTAAAGATTCGGAGGGCATAGGCATTAAAAAACAGAAAAAAAGAAAGAAGATAAGATAAAAGGAAAAGCAAATTCCAAAGACTCTCCTTTTCTTCTTGAGAATTAGATACTGTCCCTCAAGTCTTTCACAATTTTTAGGATTTGTTCTTAGGACGGTTTTCAGAATGAAGTAAGGCATTTGTTTGCCAAATTGATCTATTGTCAAAATATAGTGTTTACACTTTTGTAACTCAAATCACTAGAGAACTTCACAGAGGAACCTTAGAGGAGCTGTTTTTTAAAGTAACAAACAGCCTCTAATGTAGCCACTACATAGGCTGTGGGAGTGAATGGGAGCCCGTACAGCGAGTTCCCTTAAATGTAGATACGCCAGGCAAGTGCAGCAGAACAGTCAATTCTTTTGCACTTAAATTGCATTTTTTGTAGACCATTTCTCCCAGGTCTTTGCATGATTCATGTCTTATCTTTAAGGGCACAGCTCAGCTATTCCCCACTAGAATGAGAACTTTCCCGACCACCCTGCTGTTCCTTATGCCACTTCCGTATTTTATTTTCCTGATAATATTGGTGATCCTCAGAAATTATGTAGATATTTGTGGACTGGTGGTTGGCTCACTTGTGTGGTGTTTATCTTCCACTGCTAGAGCTTAAGCCCCATGAGTGCAGACCACTTACACGTTTTGTTCACTGTTGTATTTCCAGTGTCTGGAACAGTGCCCAGCACACATTTGTTGAATAAACGGTTGAATGAATGAATGAATTTAAAGTCTCCTCCAGAGACAATTGGAAACAGACTTCTGAATATTGCTGGGAAGTAACAAGGAGTTAGAATCGGAGGTCCTGGACGGTCCTCTGACCTCACTCACTCATTTACAGATGAAGACAGTGTTGTGACCTAAAAAGGTAAGAATTGCCCTGGCGGGACCACTCTGAGGTTCAGAGGCCCCAGCTGTTTCCAATTCCTGAGGCAGCCCTCAAACCACAATTTGAAAATAAAGGCACATGAAAATCAGACCGAGAACCAACCCAAGTCATCTTCTCTAAGATAAATAACGGTCTGTCTGCTCTCACGCAGCTAATATTAATCAAGGCGAGGCCATCGGACACCAAAACCAAACACGTGTCTCTGTCTCCGAGCTTTTAGCCCAAGCTCACGATCTCTCGTTCCCGTTCCCTCTCCTCGCTCCCACGTCCCTCACTCAACGTTAGTAAAAATGAAAAGAGCTACAGCTTATGAAGAATTCACCATATCCTGGGTATTACACTAAGTGTTTTATATTCCTCGTCTCCCGGAGGAGACACCGTTATCCCCAATTCATAGGAGATGAATTTAGGCTTAAGCTGTTAGACATTTGCCTGAGGTCACACAGCTAAGAATATGGGAGCTTGAGCACAGCTCAAAAAAATTAAATAATTTTTTGAAGAGAGAATACATTCATAGTGTCCAAAATTTGAAAAATACGTATAAATTTACTAAAAAAAAACCCACCCTCCTACTCATAACCACCCAGTGTCTCGCGCCACCCACAGACACAACCATCATAAGTTTCTTGAGGCTCTTTCTAGAGATACATTATGCATATACAAGTCAATAGGGTGTGTGTGTGTGTGTGTGTGCATGTGCAACCACACCCGACCTGCCCCCTCCCAGACATCACAGCATTTCATCTGTAAATATTTCTGGATGTCTATCTAAAGCCTGAAGACTTTTAAAACATAATCAAAATACAATAATCACAACCTAAAAATTAACAATAATTCCTTAATAACCTAAAAAATCCAGGCAGTATTCAAATTTCTAACGGCTTCACAAATGTCAGCCTTTTTTAAAGTTTGTTTATTTGAATCAGGACCCAAATAATACGCATGGTGCAGTCGCTGATACGTCTTTTAAGTCTCTTTTATATATATATTTTTTACTTTTTATGTTTTAATTTTCATTTTATATTGGAGTATAGTTGATTTACAATGCTGTGTTAGTTTCAGGTGTACAGCAAAGTGATTCAGTTATACACACACATGTGTCTATTCTTTTTAAAATTCTTTTCCCATTTGGGTTGTTACAGAATACTGAGTAGAGTTCCCTGTGCTATACAGTAGGTCCTTGTTGGTTATCTATTTTTTATATTAGTAGTCTGTATATGCCAATCCAATCTCCCAATTTATCCCTCTCCCCTCACCTTTCCCCTTAAGTCTCTTTTAATCTATAGATTCTCCCTCTACTTTTATTCTTTTACACTCCTTGCAGTTTATTTGTTGACAAAATTGTTTGTTTGTTCTGTAGGATTTCTAACAGTCTAGATTATGTAAGGGGGAAAAATCCCTTTTACACAAATGGTAGCATAAAATTCGTATTGTTTTGTACTTTTTTCACTTAACAGACCTGGCTAATCCATTTGACAAATCCTTGCTGAGCACCTAAAGCTTTTCTGGGTGCTGGAGACAGAACAGTATGTAAAGCAAACAGGCAAAGAAAACATCCCAGGGGATGGAGATGGGCACACCTAAACAAAGAAAGAAAGAAATGGGCACAACATTGAACACGTATTATCAGGAGAATAAAGCAGGGAAAGGACAGCGACTGCGTGATGAGAACTTCAAGTCTCGGCCATCTGAGAAGACGGCACTTGAACCAACTCTGAAAGCAGATGACAGCCTGAGTCAGGCGCCTCTCTGTGGGAACAGCGTTTTGAGTAGAGGAACAGCAAGTACAGTGGCTCCATGTACACTAGAGAAACAAGACTTTAGTCCAGGCGTTGCAAATATTTCCCCTTCAGTGTAATTTTTCCCTTTTGCTTTTTGTATGGCGACTCTCACCATTTAGGAAATTTTGACTTTTAAAAATGTTGTCATCTGTAAATTTTCTCTTTTATGGCCCCTGGGTTTTGGGTCAGAGTTAAAAAAGAGCTTGGATTTTGAGTCAACGTGTTATTTCACGGCCCAAGATGGCCTGGGTTTAACTACGGTTCTAAATAACCACAGAATCTCAATGGTTGAACATCACAAAGCTAATTTCTTGCTCACACCATCCATCCATCCAGGGCAGACCAGCTCAGCCTACTTTCACTCAGGGACCCAAGCTCCAGATGCGTCCACTACTGCTGTGTCAGAGGAGCTGTAGCGAATTTCACATCAGCACTGGCAGGCTTTCGTTCACATTTCATGGGCTAAAGCTCCACCTACAGCCCACCTGAGCTCAAGGTGGTGGGTAGTGCTACTCCAGGTGTGCCCGGCAGGGGAAGGGACCACGTGTGAACAGCCCAGGAGGGTCACTAGACCACCTAGCTCAAGTCAAGGCGAAGGAGCTTTTCTATTAACCCCAATTCCAGGACTTTCCCTAACCCAGTCAAAAGCAAAGTAGTGCAAAACAGACACACGACTAGACCCAGCTGATTGGTTTGTGTGGCCAGTTTGAGAATCTGTACAGGACAGGTGCCTCAGAGAGCATAACCTACTCACCCACAAAGCACCACGGCTTCCACTGTCTTCCAGGACGAAGAGACTATATCTTTCACACTTCAGGAGCCAAGAGGGCATGGTTACCCCCTGGCTAGGTTAGCTTGTCTGGGTGCGACATCTGGAACCAATGCATAAATGAATGCTGGTTACTCTTAGATAAAAATAAATAGTCTGTCCCCTACACACCCAGAGAAAGGTGCTGTTTGTTTAGGTGATGGATTTTTTGCAGATTTAGTGAAGCCCATGGGTCTTGGAACTTTCAACATAAACAATGAGGAAACCAAAATAAACACTTTTACAGAGCAGAGGAGATAGGAAGCTTTTCTTCAGCACGAATCATGAGCTAATGACTGCTCCTAAAAATGTAAACAAAATTAATTTATGCTCAGTCAGCAGCTAGAGAAGAGGAAAAACCCGTACCTGCCTTGTGTTCAAATAGAGACTATTTGGAGACAAGAGCTGCGTCTGAGTTTTCTGCTTGCTAGAATACAATCTCCAGTAACGGGGGCTTCTTTTGAAAACATACATGAGTTGTAATAGAAACGGGCGTCTCATGAGAAACTCAGCCTAGAAACCAGTAGACACCCAGACTTTGATGGACATGAAACGACACCCAAAGCAACCTCAGAATCTCGCCCAGCAGCAGAAGTGGGGTTCTACGTACAAGAACCTCGGGGGAAAGGGGGGACCTGAGAGTTAGTGCTGGTGCCTTGCTGGGACGGGTAGCGGTGAATCTGCTTCATAATCTGGGACAGAATGCAGTGGTAAAGGAGCTCATCGAAGTTCAGTTGCCTTTTGGGGATCCAGGCCACGCACTCACTGAAGAGACAGGGATGGTAAGGAAAGAGATGTCACGTGACAACCTCTTACTTCATTAGAACAGGAGAGCATGAAAAAGACAAATCCCTGTTTTGGATGAGCCGGTTTAAAGAAGATTTTAAAAAAAGACTGTGCCAGATGGTATTATTGTACTATTTATTCCAAATATTTGCTTTTCCTTGCTACTAGGCGCACCCCTAGAGGCTCCTGCCTGGAGAGAGAACAGACATGCTGCCCACTGAGGTTCACTGTGTGACTTTCTTTGTCAAGGGGAATTTATACAATTGTCTGAACAGATGTTTTAAGAGCCCTGGCATGCTTCTGCCATTGTTTTGTTCCCTCTGCCACAAGACTAAGATAGGGGCCCCTCCTAGCCTGTATTGCAGAAGAATGCAGGGTGAAAGTTGATGTACTGCCAACACGTACACGAGCAAGAAATAAATATCCGATGTTGTAAGGCACTAGGATTTTGGAAGCCATTTATTATTGCAACATAACATAGCTCAAGCTGATGGATATAGATATCAGGACCAGAACCGTAGTGCTGATCTAGCAAAGACCCTGACATATATAGCATGTTGCCTGCAATAAGAAAAATGGAGCAAATGAGCTTGTGGCTTTAGTTAAGAAGTGGGGAAAACAAAACATGGGTACCATGAGTTTGCTTTTATTGCCTGCATTTGACAAGGAGCTACAAGAAAGAGATAAGCTCCAAAAAGATTTCCAGTTTGAAAGTAGAACTGAAAGGGAAATACGGGAAATCCCGATATCCCAAAGTTAAGAGCGTCAGAACAGGGGGGTGGGGAGTAAAGATGGGATAAGAGAAAGTGGGTGAAAGCTGTTTCAGAAGTAATGGATTTCTAAGTCTCCTTGTCCCTCCCTTGTCCTGGGCCACTTCTTCCTTGCCTCCCTGGAGAGGGTAGAACCGCAGGTCAGGGGACTGGGACATGGCAATCATAGTAGTGGGTACAGGTAAAGTATGTCTACTGAACGTTTGCTGCAGAGATATTCCAGCCTTTTTCTCCCATTCAACTCCCAGATCACTGGTGGCCATACCCTTCCTCTCCAGCCAGGAGATGAAAAGACTCCCGATGGAGAATCTCACCAGCCCGACAGGAAACGTTCTAAGATATTGACATTAGGGTCCCCCAACAGATGGTTACAATATAGTGTGAAAATCAACAAGTCCCAGTCAGGAACTCAGAGCTTCTAATCAGCCTTTTATTTCTCAGATCTAACTCTGCAGCCAGGATTGACACACACACACACACACACACACACAGTTAATATATTCAGAGACATAAGAGAAGATTTATCATCCATGATACAAGAATGAAGTTTTTTGAAAAGGGATCATTCAGACATTCAAAGTTCAAAAAAGAGCTCTTGGAAATTCAAATCGATTGCAGAAACGAGGAAATCTCCCAGAGAGTAGTCAAAAACACAAAAAGATGAAAAATACAGTGAAAATAATAAAATTAGAGGACCAGGTGGTCCAACACTAATATTTAATAGGTGTCCTAGAAATATACTAGCAAAAAAGAGATACGAAATCATCAATTAAATGGTTTAAGGATATTCTCAGAACTGAAGGACATGAGTGACCAAAGTGTGAGAGTCATTGAGATTCATATCAAAGCTCGACATGTGAAATGTCCACTTCCAGGAACCGTCAGGAGATCCTACAAGTTTCTAGAGAGGAAACACAGATCACGCAAAGGGTCAGTATTCATGGCTTTAGATTTCTTAGGAAAGGTACTAGGGACTTCTCTGGTGGCACAGTGGTTAAGAATCTGCCTGCCAATGCAGGGGACACGGGTTCGAGCCCTGGTCCGGGAAGATCCCACATGCCGTGGAGCAACTAAGCCCGTGCGCCACAACTACTGAGCCTGCGCTCTAGAGCCCGCGAGCCACAACTACTGAGCTCATGTGCCTCGAGCCCGTGCTCCGCAACAAGAGAAGCCACTGCATTGAGAAGCCTGCGCACAGCAACGAAGAGCCCCCGCTCACCACAGCTAGAGAAAGCCTGCGCGCAGCCATGAAGACCCAACGCAGCCAAAAAAAAAAAAAAAAATAAATATATATATATATACTAAAAGCAAGAAGATATTCTAAAGAAAAATGTCATTTGAACTATTCCTCTCTATCTGGCAAAACTTGAGCTTGAGTATGAGAGTAAAATAAAGGCATTCTAAGACATGCAAAGCCTCAAAAATGTATCTCGTACATACATATCATTTTGCAGGAAGCTACTAGAAGTACTCCACCAAAATGAGAAAGCACGGCAAGAAAGAAAGGTGTGGGGTGTGCAGGAACCGCCCCCACCCCCCCAGAGAGAGACAAAGGGCATCCCGAGGATGAGAAGGGAGGCCCCGAGATGACCCGACAGAGGCAACCCCATCCGGATGGGAGCCCAGTGACACCACGGGTCATCAGAACACCCCCTGCTGTCTCTTGAAACCAGGCGCCCAGCTGAGCACCCACCCCGTCGAGCTCATCCGGCTTCTCCCATCCATGTACTGATAAAGCCCCTTCTTCTCCTCCACGACTTACTGCTCTTGATCAGCCGAGACCCCCCATTTCACCCCAGAGAAATGTCCTCCTCTGGAAACTCCTGGGAGGCTCTGGTGACTATAGACCCAGAAGTTCTGAGCAGCCGACCAGATCACATCGCCCCTGGGCCCAGAACCTGTTCCACAGCCAGGTGCCTCAATGGTGTGAGCCCGGAGCTCCCCACGGACTTGCGTCCCAACATTTCCAGGAGGGCCTCTTTCTTTGCATTCAGGGAATCTCGACCCAGAAATTCCGTTGAAGTTACCTTCTCCTGGGAACCTAGGGGCAGTTTTTTAAAATTTATTTAACTTTTTTATTCCAGTTAATTTTGCATTTGCTACCCAATCAAAACTGAACAATGGATCCTTTGGGGATATACACATGGGCTGGAAATCTATTTTAAAAAGCAGAGGAATCATGGACACCCAAGTTTGGAGAGGGATTAGCTGGGCGTCAAGGGAAGGGGCTGTCACGAAAAAAAGGAGCGGGGAGGGTTTTGGAAATGTTGTCGTGATTATCCTTCAGAGCCTGAGACAGGAGTAGGCAGGGTTCATTTTATTCCTCTTCTTCTGATGGCCCATAAATGTTTTATATTCTATGATGTACGAAACATTTCACCAAAAAATTTATTTTTTTTATTTAAAAAAGAGTCAAGTAGCAGTGAATGACTTAAGCAACAAAAATAAGACTGCAGATGCTCTGTACTGACGCAGGAGGATCGCTAAGGTATAGCGTCAGGTGAACGGAACAGGAGCAGAACAGCCCGCTTAGGAGGCAGTCACTGAGTAGAGAAATAAGAAAAGGAGACACCTACCTGTCCACCCCTGCCTGCGTATCCATCAAAATGTCCCTGTAAGGACACATTCGGGACAGTTAACACTGAAGTGAACACCGGATGCCTGGGGACCAAAAACGCAATTATCCTCACATCCTGCCCCTTCATAGTTTTGAATTTTGAGGTGTTTGAAGGTTTTGCTTATTCAAAAAACTTTGTTCATAAAAAGAAGTCTGACAGTACCAAACGTTATTGAAGATGCGGTGGGCCCATCGGGAAACCTCCTTGGAAAGCAATCTGGAAATACCTCAGAGAGCTGGGGCCAGCGCCGATGCTCCGAGAAAAACCTCCTTCGCGTGTGTTCAGGAACATACACAGGAACGTTCAGAGCAGCCTTGTGTATAATGAGTTAAAAGGGAAGAAAGATAGAAAGAAGGGTAGCAACCTAAAATCTCCCCCAAGAGGAAAACGCATTTAAAGAAATTCCCATTGATCCGTACAACAGACCATCATCCCAGAGTAGAAATGAATCTACGAGGATCAAAACCCCAAATTAAATGTGGAAAGGAAGCAAGTATGAAGATGATACACACTCTGTGATACTGTTTATGTGGTGGTGTTCACACGCATGAAAACATTCCAGGGCTTCCCTGGTGGCGCAGTGGTTGAGAGTCCGCCTGCCGATGCAGGGGACGCGGGTTCGTGCCCCGGTCCGGGAAGATCCCACATGCCGCGGAGCGGCTGGGCCCGTGAGCCATGGCCGCTGAGCCTGTGCGTCCAGAGCCTGTGCTCCGCAACGGGAGAGGCCACAACAGTGAGGTGCCCGCGTACCGCAAAAAAAAAAAAAAAAAAAAAAAAAAATTCTATGTGTTTATACGTAGAGTGCATGAGGAGGACCCAGGTGAATTTCCGGATAGATATTACCTCCAGGAAAAGATGGGAAATAAACTAAGGGAAAGGTATAGAGAGGCTTCATCTGGGTGGGTCG